TGCTAACAAACATGAAAGATAGAGAATTATTGGTCTAAGAGCTAAAGAAACATAAGAAAACAACTTGGTTAAACAACGATGATCTGCTGCCAGAAAAAAATCCTACTTTAATAGTCGATTGAAAACATTTGTCATTTTCTTCTTTTCATTATCAGATTATAAGCTGAATATCAAGGTTGCATGAAGAGTTGGGACTTATTACATTTTTTAAAGGGTCATAAAAGATTGGAGCCATTTTAATTAAAAGTACCAGGACAACCATAATTGGAGAAGTATCACTAGAAAAATTTGTTTATTAGAACCTTGATACTATTTTATTTGAACAAATGTCTAGAGACCTTCATTTACTTTGTCGATCCCCTTGGGTTAGCTGCTTGGTGAACAATAAGACCGCCCATTTCACTCGCTGACCAATTTTTAGGAGTCACCAAGGGAGGTTGGGTTATTTTGCAGAAAAGCTCTCTCCTATGAACTATTCACTAACACTCCTAGATTTTTCAGCCTAGTTCAAACTGAAATAAATGCTAATGATGTTAAAGGACTGTTTCCTTTTCACCTCTAAACATTGCTTCAATTGCTTAAGAATAATTCAGTGATGTTAAGCAGGATAATTGTCATATTGAACCAGTTTCTAAGACAGATACAGCAAGTATCAGAAAACAGACATTTACAGATATATCTTGTAAATAAAATGGCTGAAATTACCAGTGTGGGCTTAGATGGGAAAAAAATGGATTTAGGACAGATGCTCTAAAATTGAATTCCAACACTACTTCACGTCATCTGTGTAAGTCTAGACAAGAACCTTGGTTCAGAGTTTCCTCATTTACAAAACAAAAAGGAACAGATATTTAATGTGCCTACTTCATAGAATTTCTATTAAGAGTCTAATGCATATCAACTATCAGAATCATGTTTTTATATAGTCACAAAAACAAAACAAAACCATAACTATTAAACAACTATTTAACTGCAAAAGGTTGTTTTGCTATAAAAAAGACAGTTTTAGGGCAAAAGCAACTCAAGTATTTTCATACTGACTTCTCTGTCAGCTCTTTCTAAGGCTGGTAGATGAAGCATATCAAAAGACCATACATTAAATGAGTATGAATAAAAAGAAAATGAATGCTGAAATTGAAAAAGAAAATATTGGTAGAAGTAGTTTAGAGTCAAGCATGTAAACAAATGCCAAGATAAGCATAAAGCAATAAGTTATAATTTACTTTTAAATAAACAGGTTATAAAAGACAGAATTAAAAATTTAACATTCAAATAAAATCTGTGTACATACATGCACAACCAAATTTATCAGATATTGAAAATTAATCATTCCACTAAAAAATAGCTTCAGTTGTTCATTTTCTTTTTAAGAAAAACTAAATTATCAAATATAAACTATTAATTTCTTCAGTAGATGTTTTACATCTATATTTTCAAAGCCATCTTATGCTGATAACTTTGACACTGAATAATAAGAAAGGTTTAAAATTTTTTCACAGTAGATAAAAATGAAATTTTAATAGCATAGTTCATTTCATTGAATCATGTTTTGAAGATGGCTGATAAAGGATCATTGAAAAATTCATAGCATTCTAGAATATTCTATTAACTGGAACATTCAATTCTTAATCAATCTGAATGAACAATAATTCACAGCATACTACCTAGCCCTCATTTCTTCCTCATTATGATTACACATTCCTTCAAGCCTAAGGATCTATTTGTGTAATAGGTATGAATGCAGAACTTGAAGTCAGACACATCTGACTTTGAATCCTCTCATTCTTCCTACTCGAAGAACAGTCTTTATACAGGGAGCATCAGCCTCACTTGGGAGCTTATGAGAAATACAGTATCTCTGGCCAGATTTACTTAATGAAAATCTGCATTTTAATTAACAACCAGTGAACTAAATGCAAAATGTTAAAGTTTGAAAGGCACTGACATACACTGCTTATTAGATACATTTCCTTGAGTGAGTTACAGGAATCCTCAAAGACCCAGTTTCCTCATTGAAAAATGAGACTAATAATGATGTTTAGAGCTTAGAATTACTGTGAGAAATAATTAGACAATGCTACTTGGTCAACAATAAGATCTACCTGGTATTAAATTTTATCACCTAACTCAAACTTGTGTATTCATGATTTTTTCTGATGTATTTACTTATGGAATTACATCAGTACCCCATCCAGGTAAATTAAAGCTCCTTTAATCCAGAAGTCACCTAGAGTATAAACCTACAACAAAAATCCAAGTACATTAATAATACCATCTTGCATTCATTTGCAGCACAATGTAGCACCTGTTTTTCATTTTCAATTAGCCTCAAAATATTTCTCTTTTAAATGTGTTTTCTGTTTTTATGGAGTCAAAAAAGTTAAATAAAGAATTTAGTTTGAAAACAAACATGAATCTTTCTCCCTGACACAAAATCTAACCAATTCTACATTTAATTAATCACTGTGTTTTCTGTGTCCGCCATCATGCACTTAAGCTAGTCACTGATCCCCCAAAGGACTCAAATAATACACATACACCCCCACCCACTAGATGTCTGGAGCTTCAGTTCCAAATTATAAAAATAAAGTCTAAATAGGCTCCCATTTTAATCCAGTTACAGCAAGAATCCTATTTCATTCTATGACCTTTTCCAGGGGATTCTGATGTCCAGATAAACTGCTTCCCACATCTGGAGGAAAGATTTAGGTGATGAAATCAATACAAATGGAATGATTTTTACACTGTCATTAGTGAATATTAATCACTTTAGTAGAAAGTATATTATTTTTGTTAGATAATCCTTTATTGAAAACACACTTTACATCATAAATAGTGTTTAAAATTGGTATTCACGTACCCAAAACTGCAAGTAACAATGCTTTGAATCTTCCAGTCATGAAAGCTTATCTTACCTTGACTTACTCATTTATGTATTTCTGAAAATTTAAATGTTTCAACTTCTGGCAATATGGCATACCAAATATCCCAAAGACCCTCCTGCTTCTTCACAACAAAATATGAATATTTCAAGAAACATAAAGACTTGTAGGCATCAAAAATCAGCAAGGAAAATTTCTGAGTGCCGAATACATATAAAAATATAGTAAGCTCAAAATATGAACTGTGAGTAAACCCAAAATTCAGTGGTGTCCTGGGACAAGTACCTGTCACAGTGCTGAGATTTGTAGTTTAAGAGGAGCTAAACTTAAGCTCCAGCACTATATCTAACAAAAGATGTATAAGAACTTTACAAAAAAATTTTGACTTACTGAATGGCATAAAGACATTGTTAAATGGAAAGATCTCACATTTATAAACAAAAAGTATCATATCAATTCCTCCCCATCTGGTCTAAGTCAATGTAACACCAATCAAAATCCCAGTAAATATTTTTGTAGTTACCATGTTGAATCTAAAATTTAAAGAAAACTTAAAGGTTCAAGAATACTCAAGATCTTTCTGAAGAAGATGCTGCTAAAGGACTGTGCCTACCAGATATCTAGCTTGATAAAAGGAACTCACTGGGATAAGACAAACTATTTAATAAATGGCCCTAGGAAAATTCGTTAGAAAATATTTCATTTGGATTGCAGCCTGAAAGCATATACTGATATTAGTTACAGGTGAATTAAATAAATCTGAAAGACATAGACCATTTCAGAATAAAATATAAAGAAGATATTTATAACTTCGATGTAGGGAAGGATTTCTTAAACAAAACACAGTACAAAATACTTATAACTTTTCATAAAACTAACTTTGCAATAAAATTAAGAACTCATTTTATCAAAATATACCATAAAGACAATGAAAAGTCAAGTTATAAACTGGAAAAAGATGTTTCCATCTTATACAATTTAAGTGAACTAACATGAAGAATAAAAAACTTACAAATCAATCAGAAAAATTTAAATATGCAAGAGATGTGTATTTCACTGAAGAGGAAGCAAAAATGGTGAATGAACATAAAACAAGATATCTATCTTGTTAGTTATAAGCTCAAGTACCATTTCACACCCACTGATTGCCTATAATTAAGAAGTCTGACATTGCCTCTCATGGCCAGAATATGGACAAATGGGCACTCATATTGCTAGTGGAGGTCTACAGTGATACAACTGTTTTGAAAAACAATTATCACACTCTTTCAAGCTGACTTTGTGAATACCCTACAGTCTAATGACTCTACACTCATGTATTGACCCTACAGATATTCCTGCACATGTGTACCAGAAGACCTGGTCCAGAAAACTTTGCAGCACTATTCAAAGAAACACCCCTTTGGAAACAATTCAAATTATAATTTGCCAACAAAGAATAAATAAATTGAGAAATATCCTGACAAAATAATATTTTACTGAATTACAGCTAACTACAAACATTCAGATAAATGATGCAAACATAATGTTCACGAACACTGAAGAAAGCAATTCGATGATGACTACATAAAATATAATGGATTTTAATAGAGCTGAAAAACAAGGAAACTAACAAATATCTTGTTTAGCACAGCATGTAATGTGAGGTACAACCCTTTTTGAAAAGCAAAGCAAGTACTAATCAAATATCTAGCATACTGGTGACCTCTACCAGGGAAGCACCTTGAACTAAGAGCATACTACAAAGATAGCTTTAAGGATGCTGGCAGTATTTATGGGGTTTATGTTGTATGATAGATTTAGATATTGTTATTATGCATCACAACTTATGTTTCTGTAAACAGATGTCTGTACCATTCCTATGGTATATATATATATATATATAGTAAATAGACATATATATATAGTAAATATACTATTCCTATGTACCAAAACCACCTAAAATAAAAAATAATTAGAAATAAGCTGATAATTTTGGATTTGCAATGAAACAATGATATCTCAGCCTTTATGAACATAGTTTCCAAGGTAAAGAACACATACTAAGAAAATAAAGAATGAAAAATAAATAACAAATAATGGAAAACAATAAAAAGAACAGATCCAATTTAAACTCACCACCAGAGCTTTAGATCTGTTGCTTAGAAGTTTCTCAATATCTCTGGCTGCAATTTCCACCAGCTGGCGTGCATTATTTGGTTCCACGGTATACAAATCTTGGTATTTCTCATAAATCTGTGTGAAGTGAAAAGTTGGTTAGAACAGAAGTTGCTTATCTGGCTCGTAAGTTCACATTAGAATGATTTAAAATCATAAATAATTAATTGGAAAGACCCACCCTTTCTTCTCTTGATCTTTTTGGAGTTTAAGTGTATCAAAAAAATAAATACATATATATATATGTAAAATAAATACATATATATATATGTGTGTGTGTGTGTGTGTATATGTATGTATATGTATATATTAATTTTCTATAAGACTACCAGCTCACCAAAACAGTATGTCATGTTAACAGGCTGTAAAACATCACATATCACAATTGTTTGTGTATGGGATTTTGTGACTTGAAACTGGACCCACCCTCAAAACCTGGTATTAACTGCCATCAGCATTTTTTTTAAAGGGAGGCCATTTTAGAAAACAGGAGAAGGAAGCACAGGAGGTCAAACCTGGAGGATGTGTGTAGTGAACAAAGGTAGGAGGGGGAAAGTGATGAAAATGTATTGAGGATGACTTCCAGTTGTTCTCCCTCTTGAAACCAGAGAAGCTAAAGCATAAGCTGCTAAACCTGGAGAGGGAAAGCAGCTGGGAGGGAGGGAGGGAATGGGAGATGAAGACAATGAAGCCCCTGCTAAATAAGACTCATCCAGATGACACAGGGACCTCAATTCACAGACAGAAGAGTTGAAGGTCACTGAGGTCTATCTACATTAAAGTTTGGCTAAAATTGTAATAGTGTGAATATTTTTTATCAAGTTGAATGTCTGGTGTGTGTTTGTCTTAATCACTGAATCAAACCATACACAGAGTAAAGAAAAGCCCGACTCCATTTCTGGCTCACGTTAGTGTCAATACAAGGATTTCCATAGGGTGGAATAAGATGCACCTGGTTTGCAGAGCCTGTACACTCCTGGCAGAAGAGGAAGAATTAAAGAAAACGGAGGAAAAACCAGAGACCGTGTTGGTGGCTGGAGGGCTGAGCCGAGAAGGAAATCCCTTATGCCTCCAACAGATGGGCTGCACATGCGTGACTAAATCATCTTTGAAAGCCAGGGCCTGGCAGGTTTTCACTGTCTTCTGAGATGTGAATCCAGGCACATGCAGGAACCAGTCAGCCCTGCTTTGTCTGGCACAACTCCAGCTTTCTGCATTACTACCAACAGGTTCTGCAGCCTGGTCCCAGCTGAGCACGGATGCTACTGGTGAACATTGGTTTCCAACAGACAGATAAATATGCTAAAACAGAGCACATTAATTTTCCATGGATGTTTTAAATAAGTAATTAAAAATCAATAATTTAGAAATCTTTAAATCAAGCTTTTACTTCTAAAGTTGTTTGACTTCTTCAAACTATGAGGTTTTTCCCCTACTCGTTTTAATTCTGACCACGCAGGTTCTCATTCCAGCTATGTAGGGTACAATAATTTAGTCCTATAAAATCCCTATGTTTAGTTTCATTCAGGATTCCTGCGGATTACTGGATTGCTTATGCTTTATGCTAAGATTACTTAGTCCTATTTTAAAGATCAGTTTATCCATGAAGAATTCCATCCAACCCAAGGATCTCTTCCAAGGATCTTTTTTATTTCAGCCTGAAATTATATCCAGGAACATGGCTCCTGAATAGATTGATTGATGGGGTGCAACAGACAAACTTCAACAGCATTGTAATTGATCCAGGAGACTGGCAGTAAAACCAACAGAGCTAATTGATGTGAAAGGCAGCTGCGCTTTGTGCCATCAATACCTTCTTCATTTCCACACGAGGTTTACTTCCTCCCTGTGGTGCAGCAACTACAATATAAGTCTGGGTTGGTGGGGATTCTTTCTGGACGACTGGTACGGGATCTGTGCTTACATTACATACTACAGACAATGTCATTTAGGAAGTCACTACCTACACAAGCCAGACGTATTAGAGGTTCTTTAAAGAATGAATGAATGAAATAAATCAGAAGAAACCATTTAGTTTAAATAGGTACATATCTTCTCAAACTCTGGTTTTGTTTTGTTTTTTCAGAAAATCTATATCACAAATGAACTTGAAATAAATGAAGTTAAGGAAGCTTAAGTCTCAGCCCCTGTGTAAATATCCTGCTATACTTTTTTATGTATAAAACCATACCTGAAATGTTTTCATAAGGAAAAAAACAAATTAAAAAATGAACTAAAATTGACCCACCAAAAGATCTAGCTCTTGCATTTGATGCTAAAGTGTACAGTGTTCTTTACTCCTGCCTGAGGCATTGTGAAGATTCTCGCAGGGTCTCCTGGTAAATGTACAGTAAACAATTTTCAGAGTAGAAGATTCACAAGGATTTTTAAGATCACCTATTTTCATAATGCACATACTTACATTCTTTCCACCCCTAAGTTACATGCTAACATATGAATGTTTTAAAGAGAGCCTTCCTTCAGTATCTTTTCTTTTCCTCTTCCTAGTTTTTTCCCCCTTTAAAAAAAATTAATAATTATCTTCTTTGCCATTTTAGCTACTTTCTTTTCTGAAAGAAAAAAAACAGCCCAGGGAAAATAATATGAGCTTTTGACACCAGGCACAGCTCCATTCAGATCACATGTTAACCCCTCACGTGCTGTGCAACACTAGCTTCCATTTCTTCTACTGGAAAGAAAGCAGCATCGCCATATGAAGAGAATCTAAGAGATGATGTTTTTTCTCCTGACTAATATACTAACATATTTTAATTTTTCTGTAGCAAGTCCTCTCACAGCCATCCTTGATACAAGTTTTGACAAAAAGAATACTTGCCACCTATACATTCTTTCTTATAATTTGAATTAACTGGCTTTACTGTTCTTTCACTATTACATTCACAGACAAGTTTTACTCTGATGACAATAGAGAATATGGTTTTCCTAACTTTTTCACTGGAAACTTCTAAGTCTCTTTGTCTAATTGAGTCCATAGTTCCAAGATAATCTTCAGATTAATGCACTTAAAAATCACCTCAAATGTACTATCTAAAAAATGACAGCACTCATTGATACAATTGCCTATAAACCTAATACCTAAGGAAACGTTTCAGAAATCCTAACACTTTAGTATTATGTCATGGAATAATACCGATACCCCAGAGATGCTTACTGAAAATTAAACATGCTTCCAAGTTTTAGATGACCTAGAAGATTATATTAGCAATCATTTTCACATATATTATATCATTTACTCACTTTAAGAAACTTAAAAAATACTTAATACTTAATTAGCCATTGTATTAATGAGACTACTAGGATTCAGGCTCTGGAATATTAGAGTGGAAGGAATTTGAATCTGATTTCGCACGATACAGGAGCAAACCACTGAGCAGGGCAGCAGCAGGTGAAATGGTAATGTGGTATGTTTAGGCAAAGTGAGTCTGCAGCGCTACTCTATGCCCAGGGGTTCCTCTGATTTCAGCAGAATGTGAGGAAACAGGAAAAACCCTTAGGATGAGTAAGAAAAATAGTCAGGAATTAAGGATCTGTATGTGTGCTAGGAGACTGCCTCCAGCAGGATCAATGGGACCCCAGTGCAGAGACTGAGGGGTGGACAGACGGAAGCAGAGGTTCAGCTGGAACATGATAGTGCAAACCACCCAGAGCTGAGAGGTCCTATTCAAGCTAAGGAGACTGGCGCCAAGTTGTTTGTAAAAATCACATTCAAGTATCTATGCCAAGAGAATAGAAGAGTTCAAATATACCAGACATCTTGTCCTATAAGTTGCTCCTTGCAACTAAAGTCTAAAGTCAAGAACATTAGAGAGTATTGAAAGGGACTGGAACTTGGAATTTATTAAATCCATAATTGACCACAAAAGGCTGTTCTGAACTGAAAGAGACTAAAGTTGAAATGGTGAGACTAATTTTTGTTCCCCTCCTGGGAGGGAGAATGGCAGCTCATGAGTAAGTGAAGTTCCCTAAAGAGAAACATAGTCAAATTTCTGCATATTAAATTTGAAATATGTAAGTTCTGACAACCACTTTTCTCAATACTTGTACATTTACTTCTCTCCCATGGAACTTGTTCTGAATAAGCAATCAACATCTCTGCCATGCCCACAGCCAGCCTTTTTTTGAATTGAAATACAATTGATATACAATATTATATTGGTTTCAGATGTACAACATAGTGATTTGATAATTATACATATTACTAAAGGATCACCACTGTAAGTATAGTGACTCCCTACTCCAAGACACTTCAATATCACTAGTTAAAGTCTCTATGCTGTAGCTCCATTCTTATGACTAACTTATTTTATAACTTGAAGTTTGTACCTCTTTATCCCCTTCACCTATTTTACCCATCCCCCAACATCCCCTCCCCTGTGGACCAGCAGTCTGTTGTCAATATTTATAGGTCTGGAGTTTTTCTGTTTTGCTTTTTAGATTTCATATGTAAGTGAAATCATGTGGTATTTGTCTTTCTCTGTCTGTTATTTCACTTAGCATATTATCCTCTAGGTCCATTCATGTTGTCACACATGGCAGCATTTCCCTTTGTTACGGCTTAATAATCTTCCATTGTGTATATTTACCACATCTTCTTTATCTATTCATCTATTGATAGACACTTGGGCAGCTTCCATATCTTGGCTATTGTAAATAAAGCTGAAATAACATGGGTGTGCATGTATTTTTTTTCAAATGAACCACAGCCAGCTTTCTAGGGGAAATTTTGCCTTGGAGAGTCCCTGTTGAAAGAGAAGGCTTGGAGTTTCCTTATAAATGGGTAACAATATTCTAATGTATGGCCTTGCCCCTGGCCCCTGACTAATTGCATCAGGACATATCAGACCTAGAAGCAGTTAACTTCTGAATCAATGGCATGTGAGGGGCCAGATACAAAAGATCTGTATAAATAGTGATCATACACTGAACCAAACAGATTCTCCCACCATAGGACTACAAGAGCATAAGAGGCAAAAACAAAAAGACTAGTGAGAAGAAAACAGTATTCAGATTCTAAGGAGTGACAGAAATGATAAATGGTAGGCAGAATAATAGCTTTC